AAAGAACAACACCCATACAACTGATTTAACACATTCACACATGCTGTTACAATTTACAAAATATCTGTTTTATTTCCCAAGTTCTTTACAAAAAAGGTGTTCCCCTTATGACACACATGTACCTTGAATTATCCATAAATTCACTAATCACTGGCCTCAGATTGCTGCTTTACTCCATATTATCCTATGCACAGAGTTTGTACATTGCTTTTTTACATAAAGAGTTGGACCTCTCCAATTAAGCACCAAAAAAGTTCATAACTTAAAATATATCATCCAGGAAAGATTTGTGTACATTATGTTCCAGTCAGACCTGTGTGGAGTGAAGGCATGTCATGAAAAACTGAAGCCCGAAGAGTAACAAATGATTCAGTTCAAGGAAATAATAATAATAATAAGGTACCTTGTGTGCTTTCTTCTGCGACTACAGCGGAATCAGCACCAGGACGCGAGGGTCTGACGTGTCGACACTGGGGAACTATATGCCTTTGATACACAAAACCCAGCAAGGCATGACAAATTCAAAAAGAAAATCCACATATATCACCGTAGATATAAACCACTGTGAAACATGTACCGTTATAAATCTCCTTATATTTCACGAAGTTAAAGAAACGTTGATTTTTGGCACTTATCTTAACACATCTGGGCTTAACGATCAGCAGCTTTAGCTTCCGCAGCCCGGAACATGAATCGCAGCTCATAACAGTGCAAGGCTGTTACGATGTGTGTAATTTAAATAAAATAATAACACTATTGTGACAATATGGCCTGGGACAAAACCGCTGAATTTAAGTGGTGCTATGGGTTTATTTTAAAAGATTAACACGATCTTAGGTTCCTGCCAAGGGGATCAGTGTGATCTGGTTTCTGAATGGAAATAAGAGTCCGTCAACGAGGATACTCCCTACATCGCAGAAATGGCACAGAGACACGTGGAAATGGGTCACATGACTTCCCCCTGTTTCAACTCAAGCGTTTGACTTGTGGACTTGCTCGCAAAAAGTAGGTGCAGAGGTAAACTTGCTGTTTATAGTCATGGAAGATTATAAACTATATTATGGTGCTTCACGGTTTCGCTTATTCGGAGGGGAGCTGCCTTTCCTGCAAATTAAAGCTGTTTTCCCGAGGCCATGACTATAGTGCTTAAATAAATAAAAACACTGAACAAAGGAACATTGTGAACAGTAAACCCTTTGGACATGTGGCTCCTCCTTTTGAAAAAAGCCACTCAGCCTTAATGTTTGCAGGGACTGTGTTCCGTGTTCAGTTAGTGTATTGAAGTTCTACGAGAGTAACGTTGGCAAAGGAGGATTTCATCTTCCCCTCTTGTGGCAAAAATCACAGAATGGCTTCATTTTCTCTTTTAAATCCCAGAATTGTTGTGAGGAAAAGGTCAAGAGGTGATTACATACAATCAACGTGAATTGAAGCAGTCGGGTTCATATCGTGGATGAGCTGTGAAGCAGGTCGGGGAATCAGGACTACGAGGACAGATTAGCAGCGAGGTCGGCAACAGTGAAACTGCCCTCTGCGGTGCTTTTAAAGTGCATTTAAAAAGCCAGGGACTATGGATCACTGTGGATCATCATTTTTCTGTCATGACTAATGCAAATACTGTATGGGAAAAATAGCCAGGACCTCAGCCACATTTAAAAAACAAAAAAAACTGGTTTTAACCACACAAAAGACAAGATGGCATGATTATTTAACATATAACAGCTTGTCTCATCTCTCTCGGGCAGAGTGACAAAGCACACCTTTCGTATCTCCTGATACTCTTCAAAAATACCCGCACTCCTTTATTCAGTCAGTGGACCGTGAGCAGGGAAAGTGGCTGAGGTCATTCGCTGCTCGATTTTAAGAAAGGAGGGCCAAAGAAAGGAAGAAAGATAGGAGTGAGCCATTAGCCGGTGTTTGACAGCACTCACGGCTGCGTTCGTAACTCATAATGGATACCGCAGCCTGCGTGCCTCAGACAGGCAGACAGTACAGTAAACGTAACTCCTGTCTAGTCTGCTTTTGTAAACACAACTGCGCCGCTGGTCCAGGGAAACCTGCCGTATGTCGCCGGTCTGTTTTCATGGCACCTACCAGACAGCGTGCAGGAAGCTGGTCACGTGTTAGCAATTTGTCGACCTTAACCAAAACGCCGCAGTTTTGGGTTTTATTAATCTGCTCCTTATACAAACATACATAAACGTAACAAGGGGGCGTATAATGCAAAAAATATGAGGCGCGGATAACGGATGCCATACCGTGTGAGTAATGCCTTTCAAATGTGCGGAGGGACCTTTCAGGCAGAACAGGAGATTAACGGCGGGGCCTCGCAGCGTTAAGGAAGCTGAACGGCCAAACACACTCAGCTCTGATGACCCAGTGCTTTCGGATTCTTGCTTAATGACGCATCAGCCACGTTACTGGATAAGGGCAGCGCTCTTACATGCCAAGGTGTCCGGGACAGGTGAACAGGAACACGCGTCAGCTCGCTCCCTGACAGACAAAGCTGAGACAGTTAGCACCGTATCACGTTACCGGGCCCTGCTAGAATGGAAAACTCGGCCCGTGTGGAAGAACCATTAACCTGGTTTCCGGAAGCACGTGTTTGGCTTACACTCAAAATTGAGAAGACTATGCTCTGACCATTAAGAAGACGGTTTTTGCAGCCTACAGTCGGTGAACCGAATGTGTCCATTTGTAAAATTGGCTGCAGATAAGGAACTCAGTACAGAACTTGTCGTGTTTATGTTCACCCATAAACGTCTCCGGGTTTTTCTTCACCTTGACCTCTTCCAAACAGCTGTTACTGAACTAAACCAAAAACACTCACTCCCACTTCTCAGGGTCTGGCCATGAAGTTAGGTTTGCCCTGACAAGACCTCACACCTACAAACAATACATATTTTATAAATAATCTCCCCACAGCTATATTTTTTAGAAAATGGAAACTCTTTACCCTTCCACTGACTTTATTTACATATAACTGGGTGGGTGGGGGGGGGGTGATCAGTGTGGTTTGCATTATTTCTCTTTCTAAATTAAAGGCATAAATCAGTATTTTCTCTCGCCCCCAGTAATCCCGGGGCGTGTCCGCAATCCCATTTCCCACGCAGAAGCTCCAGATGAACTCATCTCTCTCACTGAGACTACTTCCTTAGCCGTGTTCCTGATTTTATATGAGATCCCTTCCCCAGATAACCTGATTCTAATATCCCTATATCTCTGCATCACATAATTCCATGTGCCATCCTGACTGGAGAGATTCTCATACTAATGACAAGGGAATGATCTGGAAAGAATGTGACAATGTGTGAACGAAAAAGCTGTCAAAATGGAACATGCGCATGCAATGTCCTAAAAGAGCCAACACCCCCCACCCCCCCCCCCCCAGTTGGCAGGGGGAGGATTAACGACTGCAGACTCTTGCTGGAATTCCCCTGGGTGGGGGGTTTCCCTGGCAGATCAATGCTCAGCCCTCCTGGGTTCCAAGGTAGAAGAGCTTTTCAAAGGCCATCTTATAAAAAATGAGCACGCAATGAACAAGCTGTAAACAACTATACCCACTGGTGGAAGGAGAACTGATTCCTTTAAATTTTACATTAGCGTCAGGTGGGATTTTAAATCCTAGAATTTCATTTTGGAGAAAAGTACAACGGGAATAAAGAATGAAGCAGTGTGAAGAGTATTGTGAAAGTACATCACACAGCATTCTGTTCTGTAATGTGTCTTACGGTCAGGTTCCAGGGCATCTGTGTGGATCTACTCAGCTGTAGACAACAAAAACAACAAGCTAAATATGAAAAGACTATTGATGCATACTTGTTTGCTATGTAGTAGGCGAAATGTAGTATGTGAAGTGAGCAGTATGTCCGAATGTAGTATGGATGAGGCAGTAGGTGAACGGTATTCGGATGGCATACTACATTCTGTGACATTCTGAAGCATGCAATCGATGGATACTACGCTATCCCACGAGGCCTCTGTAGTGGGGAAGAAAGTCGTTCATGCCAAAATTTTATTTTCAAGATGGTGGAGGAAGTGCCGTTTCTGTACAAATTTAAGTAGAAAACAATACCCTACTGCTGATAGCTGTTAATTAACAGTTTTAAACTTTCACAGGGTCAAGCTACGTCATTGGTAAACATCCGGGTTAATCGATTCCAGAACTGACTATGACAGGCTGTCGCTTAGTGATGACATCACAATGTCAAGCATGTCTGATGGCGGCATCTGAGGTACGAGGGGGCGTTGTTCCTTTTGGCAGACCACACAGACAAGAACATACGTTTCCTGATTTCCTTGAAAGCTAAATCAGTGGAAGTGAAGAAAGAAAGAATAACTGAGAGTCAGGGGGGAAAATAGGTCCAGTTTCCATCGTTTAAGGGTATGGTACTCATTTTCGTACTCATTTTCATGGTACTCATTTTCATGGTACTCATTTTCATCGACGAGGTCCAAATATGAAGTGGCTTCATATTTTTTAACACCTCCCACCTAAACAACAGGAGAATATTCCTGGCTAATGAATTCGCCAGGTTTATATGAAGGAAACTCCCGTGAAAGATGAGGGGGGGCCGAGTCGGTGTCTCTAGTGCCTCTCCCTTTCTTTAGCTTAGGCGTTTGCCCTTTTGAAGGGTAATATTTTCAAGTTCAAGTGGTTCACACGCATCATCTGTACATGTGTTCGTACACAGAGATTTAGTCATGCCTTCCTTTACACTTTGAATGTACAAAAGTTCCTTTACAAAATTAAAAAATAAAAATAAAACAACGAACAGAAGCATTAATAAAAACCGAAAATAAAACGGGGAAGATAAAACTCATCTGTGGAAGATTGTAGCAAAAACAGCTGTTCAGCCCCTCCGGCCCAGCGGGAGCTGGATGGGTCCTTCAGGCTTGGAAAAATCAGGGCTGGTTGGGGATCATCTCAGGGAAATGAAGGTGTGCTGGGGGGGGTGGGGGGGCACCACGCTCAGGGTCCTGCACTCCCCCCCCCCCCTCCCTCAATCGCTTCTAGTGAGGGTCAGACCTCCACAGACTGGATCTGGTTCATCTGGGCACGCATGGTCTGGATGCTGTTGAGGATCTTCTTCTGGTGTCCGGCTAACGTCACTCCCAGCTTGATGATGTCACTGCGGAAGTGTCAGCAGAAATACAAGCAGTAAGACATTATGGCACAGTGACACCAACCGCCAAGTCAAACCCGGTTCCTTTCTCAAATTAAACTTGAAGCCTAATTAATAATGAGAAAATGGGTTAAAGTGTCCTTGTTCAAACTTTGCAGACCACCCACACATTCATGACAACGATGAAGCATATCCCAACCATGAGATATTCTAGAACATTCTAAAAGCATGGCAGATCGCTGCTAAACGTTTTCAAATGCTTTTATTGCAGAGCTATGCCACTAAAACGCCAGGAAGAAGGCAAGAAAGGCTCTCTGAGCAGTCGCTTTCTAACTTTTAACAATGGCTGACCTTTAACAGAGGAATAAATGTGCTTCAGTGAATGACGCCGTGTCAGACTGCTAGTATCTGTCCATAACAGCTGTCAGTGTCTGCCACATTAGCCCATGGAGGCCGGCTGGCGCGGTGCAGACCGGCATGGCAATACTTCAGGGATACCAGGCTGTACGCACCAGTGCATGGTTTATCTGTAAGCCATGTCGGTTGCTATGGTAATAAGACAAAAAAAAAACGTACTCCATGGTCATCTGGGAAACGGCCTCGAAGCTGCTGAACTCTGAGCTGGCGAAGTTCTCCTTGTACTGGCCCATCTTGATGGCATCCAGCCACTCCTCCACCGTGCTGAAGCTGGAGAAGTCAGGCACACTGCGGTCCAGCAGAGGTAGGTGGGGGCTGTGGGCAGAAACGCACGGTCACTGCCTGCTCACCGCGCCCCCGTCTGGGCAGCTGGGACGGCTGCCCTGCCCGGAATCAGCCATGATCTCCACCAGGCAAGGGAGGGGCACACTGAACTGTCCCGCTCATTCTAAAATGGATTCCTCCACAGAATTAGAACTCGGAACGTCTTTTTCTGTCAGTTGAACAGCCCCCAGCACCCCGTCCCCCATGGCCCAGCCGTCTTCAACAAACTGGGTGAAGAAAGCCCCGTAGAAATCACTTTTTAAATGAGCACATTCATTGAAAATGGGAGAGATGAAGCTGACAGCAAAGGTGGGCGGGATTAGTGTGTCAGGTGACCTGTCAGTCAGAATAGCTTAACCTCCCATTGGTCTCCTCGATGACTCCCATTGGGTTAAATCAGAGAGTGACACCACCGCTCACTGGGGCTCTGCATCTGCCATCGCTACACAGCTCAGGAGCATCGGGCTGAGTGAGCTGTGTTTTGTTGCCTTATGCTCGATAGCATCCTGCCGCAAGAGTGGCAACTGAATGCAGAGAAATGAGCAAGAGGCTCCAGCTGGGATCGCAGCATGGGAGCGGCGTTCTGGCCCGACACGCGTGTGTCGGCTGTCAGGGGAGGCCAGCGGGGCAGGCAGGAGGGTGGGAACACGGCAGAGCAGCTCCTCCGAGTCGGAATAACGTCCTTCAGTCACGAGGCCCAGAGCAGTGGGGGCTTATGGGTTGGTGACGATCACTCAGCAAGTCCAAGGGACCAGACTGAAATGGATTTTTATAAAGGTCCTGAGGTCATACAGTAGACATAAAGCATGACTCACCATGCAGGCTAATGCACGCACGTGTACGCCACACACACACACACACACACACACACACACCGCTTTCCCCAATGCCCTATCGCCCTCCCAGAGCTAAGAGGGCCTCCATCACTGTAACACATGTGGCTCTTCATGGCAGGATGGCGGCAGTCAGCGTCTCTCTCCAGGAGCACAGTCTCACCCGGAGGACGGCGAGGTCGTGGCCTTCAGCGCGTTAGGGTTACGGATCATCTTGTCCAGGGTGCTGACGATCTGGCTGAACTTGGGCCGGGCGTTTCGCTCCTTCTGCCAGCAGTCCAGCATGAGCTGGTGCAGGGAGGCGGGGCAGTCCATGGGCGGGGGCAGTCTGTAGTCCTGCTCGATGGCGTTGATCACCTGCGGGGAGGAAGTACCTTACCGGGGGAATCCTCAGGCACAGGATCTACAAGTCTCACTTCCTGTCAGCTCCTGTTTGCCCTGAACTCAAGGGCACAGGGAGCCTGGCGCCTAAACAGCAGAGACCAGGCGCGCTCAAATACGTGGCTGGCCATTATCCACGCTGACACACTCATGGGTCATTTCTCCAAGCATTTCTAATAGCTCCCCCTAGTGTCTGGGCCCCTGAAAGACGTCCCCTCTTCCCCTTATGGGTAACCCAGGCTGTGACTATTGAGATGTTTCCCAAAATAAGAACCCAATCATGTTTCCTATACATGCAGAACAGCAAAGCTTAAACAGTTGCTTACTAACAATACCAAGAAAAACCCATCCGTGCATTTTCCATAATCAGTTATCCAAATGCAGGGGCATCATGAATACTACTACTAATAATTACAGTTATTAAGTTAACAATAGCAACATTTCCCAAGGTAAAAGCCGGCTTTTGTATTCCCGTGTTAATACGGATGAGACTGAGCATGTCCGACTCTTTAATCCATCTTTTAGGTATTGAGCTGAAAGACCTCTCCCGGTCTCGGCCAATGACAGCATACAGAGAACAATGACACCGACGTGAAAAGCCAGGGCTCATTAATAAACAGCACAGAAACCGCAAAACTAAAGGTTATAGATGTGAAGCGAGTGAAGGTCACAGCCCATCCCTCATTAATGTTTAATGGCCGTTTTGGGCTTAAACACACACCCACGGTCCCTGTCCATTCACTCCACGGGCGTCGACTGCTCCGCCCCCCCCTTGCACACAAGGGCTGGTGATGGGATCTGGTACTGGCTGGGAGTGAAGGGTTCAGGGGATGAGGACAGCTCATCTTAGAGCACGACTGCAGCCACAGTCCCAAGCGGGACGTCTCGATTTAGCCAAAACACAGCTGCTTGGCTGGCAGATGGGACCTTGAAGTGCCCGCCTGTGACTGACACCCCCCCCTCCCCCCAGGGGGGCAGCAACTTGCGCAAACACTTCCCCAAACTGTCATGTGACCTCAGAGTCACATGACAAAACAGCCCAGTGCCTGTCCACTCCACTGGGCATCGTCTTGGAGCTGCATTTTGGCTCACTACCAATAAAGGATATTTCACATTATATATCCTGCAAAAAATTACTCTGATTTTGTTACTTTGCTAATTGGAAAGTTCCAGCACCAGCCATAACGGGAGCCGGACAGTACAATTCTTACACAGGATTTGGACAGCATGCGACACTGACCCCAGCTCAGATTCAAAACTAATAATTCAGATCTTCTGCAGACTTAGGGTGCAGGAGTTCTAATCGCAGGAATGCGCTCGCAGTCTGCGCTCCCGGACCTGCCACGGAGGACGGTAAATGATCACCGAAATTTTACTCACCCGTAAATGGGGAAGAGCTGATTGATTATAAATGAGGGCCGCACTGCAGAGGCACACGCCTAATGAGATGAGCGCGGCCAGATCCCGTCTCCCTCCCAAGACGTTTAGCTCTCATACATTCAATTTTTCATTCATTTCCATTATCACACCTATAATTTGGGATTCCTGAAAAGAAGTTAATAGCAGTACATCAAGGTGCGGTGTCATGGATTTCCGTCGGTGCTATTACTCAGTGATGACAGTGGCATGAAATGAAGGACTGGAGCTGTTTGGCTAGATTAAAAAAAAAAAGAAAAAGCAGAGCAGCGCAGCGCAGTGTGTAATAAATCACAGAAATGTGCTCCTGGATTTGGCAACGATAACAAAGGAAGCCAGACGAGCCTTGGCTGCGAGGACAGAGACGCATCACTCCATGAGATCCCGTTTATGGATTTCGGCGTCGCGCTCCTCTGGGCCCGGTATCTCCGTGCTCATCGCCGCCACGGAGGAGTGATCGCGTGATCTCACCTCCACCGGCCCCGGCGCGGAAGATCTAACAGATGTGTGTTTCTAAGGGAACCGGAGCCAGTATGTTTGCTTAATTAAAAAGGGCGTCGGAGCTGAGGGGAGAGAATCTGTGCTGTTAGGGACTCCTCAGGGAGAGCCACTCTTACTGTAATATAAATGCAGTATTATCATTGTCATTAATAGTAATAATGATGAGGCTACGAATACGCGGAGGCGGGATTGACCTCACTGGGGGAATGCAGTACACAGCTAAAGGAGGACAAGCACGAGGTGAAATCCAAACTGACGCTTCCCAGACATAGACACGCGGGCTGGGAGACTCGGTACAAGTCCTGCGGCGGGAGTGGGGGTCGCATTCAGCGCAGGCTGACCTCTGCATGGTCCGTCTGTGTTCGACATATGGCATTACACCAGGGAAGTGCTCCTCTCGCTCGGGCTACGGCACGCGTCTCTGATGAATAATGAGCTAGCTGCTCTCATGCTGCGGAGGCCCGCGCGTGCACCTCGGGGGGGGGAAATTCTCCTTTCTGCCAGAAGGGGGCGCAAAGGAAGCAGCGGAAACTGCCCAGCATTCGGTTCCACCTGACGTAACTTTACCGCTTGGAATGCTGACTTTGAGTGACCTCACTGTCACAATCATGAAGTGCAGTGATCCCTTCGAG